TGAATTCTTCCCTGCAAGGGCATGACTTCTGGTCTACAGCAGTGATGATAATGCAATCCATCCCCTTTGTCAGTTACTTGCCTTCCTGGACTCCCTTGCCAATAAAAGTGGCAGTGGGACCCCAGTTCTGGCCAGCAAGACACAAAGGGAAATCTGTCAGCTAGAGACGTTAGGGCCTTTTTTTTTCCTTGCTAAATAATGGCAGGTGTGAGAAGAGAACTAGCCAGGACTGCCCCCTTCACTTTTTCTGCCCTGAACATGGATATGATGTTGGGTGCCTCAGCCATGCAGACACTAACATAAGCGTGGAAAAGTTCACACTAAGCACAGGGAAATGGAAGGGATCAGTCTTCAATGATACTTCTGATCTGTTGGGACACTAACCCCACATCCTCCGGAATTGTTACAAAAATGAACATCTACTACTGTAGCTGGAAACATTCCTGATAGACCTACCTCCCTAGCAACTCAAGGCCTCTGAGGGATGGACTAGGCAGCTTTAGAAGTCATGTGAAGATGGCCTTTCCCTACAGGTACAAAGTAAAGCCCTCTCCCTCAGACTCCAGGACCTTGACAATTGCACTCTGATCCCTGCAGCCTGAGCCAAAGCAGACACACACTTCAGAGGCACCACATTCGTGCTGCAAAGCGCAGATCTTTATTGACATGGAGGCCATCCTTACCCACTGAGACCAGGTTCCTGTAGTTCTCCAACATCACCTCCCTGTACAGGGACTTCTTTTCGAGGTCCAGCAGTCCCCATTCGTCTGAAGTAAAACCCAAGGTCACATCTTCAAAGGTCACTGGTTCCTAAAACCCACAGGTTTCTGTTCAGCCAGGGTCTGTCATCACCCACGCTGACAGGAAGGGACAGGCTGACCCAGCACATGAGGGCACAGTCTACAAGATGACCTGAAAGCATTCCCGACGTCTCGTGTGTTTCTGCGTTTGTCTGAAATTGAGCAAACCCAAGCTTGGCCCTATTCAGGTCACAGCAGGGAGGACATGTGAAGCCAGAGAGAGTTCTTTGTTCGCTGAAGATTTCCCATTTTTTATTAACTTGGACATTCCAGTACTAGTATTAGCGTCTATGCGTCTTATTAGGGAATTCTGCGAGCTGAATCATCACACCCAAGCCTTCAGCTCCCGTCCATCGCCTAGGCTGCTTCTACTTCCTTCACTGGTCAAGGATCCATCCTCCTCTATCGTTTTTTTCCTAGTGATAGAGCTCTCATCCCCTCCAGCTTTGATGCCAAAATGGCTACTGAAATGTAAATATGAACCTAATCCCTACTTAAACCTGTCAATAACTATCCTCGATACAGAGGATAAACTAGAGTCCCCCAGAATCTGACCTGTACTCTAACCATTCCCTTGGAAAGCTAAGCAACCAGCGGTTCCTCCATTCAGCAAAGTCTCTCATGCCCAGCTAGTCTCTCAATCCTCCCGAAGATGCTCTGGAGCCTGAAGGCATCTCAAGGGAAGGTGGCATCTCACTACCACCCTGCCCCCCCCCACCCCCCGATCCCGGGGTAGACTCAGAAACTCAAAGAAGCCTCTACTCACACGAAACCAGGCCGTCGGAAGCCCGGAGGCCATACCTTCCTTCTCCTCGACGTACCTCGTGGGAGTGGGCAGTCCTGAGAAGGTCGAATTTGGGAGGTGGAAGGGGTGTTAGGTCTATGCGGAAGGGAGCCCCCTACTTAGCCCAGAACCGGCATCATCAATGTGAAATAACAGGTCCACCCGCCACCTAGAAAAACGCGCTGAAGGGGTCGTCTCCACCTTCTCCCCGACGCCTGGAGGGCCGGTTTCCCCCTGGTCAAGAGGAGATCGTCCTCATACCTTTCTCACCCAGAGGAAGTTACACCCTTCCCTAGTCCGCACGCGCCCAGAACGGGTCGGCCCACCTTAAGCCCCACGCCTGGAGGGAGTTGTCTTCCCTTTGGGCCCCGGGTTCCCGACCACACCGCCCCTTCCGGCCCCGCAGCAGGAAGACGGCAGGCAAGACCGGCCTTGGACTCCAGAGGTTGGCGGGGAAGGGACTGAGGCCGCACACCCCGAAGAGTGGCCCCGGGATGTCTCCGCACAGCGCCCGACGGGAGCGGATTTCGCGCCACACTCACCCAGTGCGCGGCGCACAATGGCGACCGTCGGCCCGCAGCGAAATGCGTCAGCGCGCAGGGCCGGACTACAACTCCCAGCCACCCCTGCGGCGTGCCCGCCCGACCTCTCCCAGGTGGCGGCCATGTTGGCCGGCCATCTCGGATGGCAAGCGAAGCCTGGGCGGGCCGGAAGAGGGCACTCGCCAGCGACCCTTGGTGGTCCAGCTGGGTCGGGGCGGTGGGGGGGCTTGAGTCGGGTACGCCAGGCCGCGGGGGCCTCAACACTTTCCCAAGCAGCGGCGCAGGCCAGAACAGAGTCGTGCTCCGCCACGAGGGCAACCACTGGTGGGAAGGACCGGAAGTTGGGGAAGGGACGGAGAGCAGAGGGGGTGGGCCGGAAGTAGATTAAAGTTGGGTGGAGGAATGGCGGGAAGGATTACTACATTTCTTGGCGGAGGAGGAAGAGCGGGCAGGGCCTGAAGCGTAGAGGGTTGGGGCTGCTATTCCTACCCAACGTGAAGGAAGGAAGGGCAGGAACCGCGTGGGAGGGAAGCGTACAGAGGGCGGAGCTAACGTCCAGCCAAGCTCGGGGAGAGGAGGAGGAGCGGGCGGAGAGCGGGTAGGAGGGGGGAGGAGCTAAAGTCCACCCAAATACCGGGAGGAGGCTGCCATAGGAAGGCCGGAAGTGGGTGGGGGCGGTGCTAAATGTCGTTCCTCGTATAAGGGGAGGAAGAAGGGCAGGAGGGGGAGGAAGAAGTTAGGAGGGGGAGGGGGGGCCGGAAATGTGCTGGAGACCGACTGGGTCCAGAGAGGAAAGGAGGGCGGGCCTCCCCCGTAGGTGCTGGTGGTGCGGCTCTGTGTCCTCCAGTTGTAGGCAGGGGAGAAGGGTTAGGCTTAAATGTCCACTCAAGTTGTGTGTAGAAAGGCAGGGTTAACTGTACCCTAGGAACGGGTGTGGGGGTAGGTTGTCAAAGAAAACCAGAGCTAGACATAAGCTAAAACGGTGGAAATAAATTTTATTCACCATAATGTAGCTACAGGGGAAGACACACTCCAGTGTAGACTTGGGGTCAATTCTGAATACCAGCAGATCAAGTGGGGATTTATAACTAAACAAGTTGGAGTTGGGGGTGTTAGCTGATAAATACACAGTCCGGCGGCTTTTGGCTGTACCAACCTAATAAGATTTTTGCTGAAGGCAGGCCTAGGTGATCTGATACCACCTGGGGGCAGTCGTGGGGATGAAGTTTGATCAGTTTTCAAGGGTAGAGAATTCTTATTAAACTGTCAGGATTCTTGCTAAAACTGGATTCTACAAGGAAGTACATGGAAGGTTGTTGGGGAGAGGGTTCAGGGGAATCTGACTAAAGTTTGGGTAAGCAAAGAATCTTGGTCAGGGAGGAGGAGTGGGATGGGTAGGATCCTCTGCGCAGTGTCCTCTTCTGGGAGCCATGGTGCCCCTGTCTAGGAAATGAAAGAAGACTTGTTTCTGCCCATGATCTGGTGTGTGCTTGTCTTCCCTGGGGGCCAAGGACTAAGTAGTCTCTTATCTTCCTCAGAGTCCAGTATCTGGTGTTTTCTCATCTTGGTCAGGTCCCAGAGCCTACTGTGGTCTTGACTTCTTCAGGGTCCAGGCTTTGATGTTCTCGGGGCTCTCCTAATATTCTTGGGCCCCAGACTTGGTGGATTCTCCTCTTGGAATTTCCCAGCAGGTTTTAGCAACCCTATGCCTCCCTTTGGGTCATCCTGTCCACAGCCTGCCAAACTTGTTCCAGGCGTTATTTATTTGTTGAGAGAGAGAGAGAGAAAGAAAGAGAGAGAAATATCTTAAGCAGTCTCCACAATGTGTGCAGAGCCCATCACGGAGCTCGATTACACAATCCTGGTATCATGACCTGAGCTGAAATCGAGTTGGATGCTTAATGGACTGAGCCACTCAGGTGTGCCCAGGAGTTGTTAATTTTTATTGTTACTGTGGAGAGCATCTACCTGCCAGCTGCACATTGTTCATCATATTTGTTGCAATAAGACGGTCTTGATTTTGATTAGTATTTACTCAGAAACTGAGAAGAAGTCTTTTATGCTAAGAGTATTTCCTGGATTTTTTGTGGCTATTGTAGAGAAAATACAATCTCCATTCTGTAAGTAATTTGGCTTCTTCCTTTTCCATATTTTGACTTAAAAAAAAATCTATGTTATAGCCCTAGGTAGTGTGACAGAGCCACATTATTTAGTCATGTTATTTTTGCTTTGTGTTGGATGTGACTGGGGATGCTTTTCATGGTTCATCATCCAGTTTGATGAAGGACCTTAACATCTTAAGGAAGCAAGTCCCCTTGGAAGTTCTGTCAATTTCTGTTTATATGGTATGGGATAAAAACATGATTTTCAGTTAAAAGGTGATTTTCAATAAATATATTATTGAAGACTTATTCATGAAAGCCACTTTAAATACAACTTTTAATGGGGCACCTGGGTGGTTCAGTCAGTTGAGCATCTGACTTCAGCTTAGGTGGTAAGCCCCACATCAAGCCCCACATGGGGCTCGCTGGCCTCAGTGCAGAACCCACTTCAGATCCTCTGTCCCCCTCTCTTGGCCCCTCCCATGCTTGTCCTCTCTCTCTCTCAACAATAAATAAACATTAAAAAATAAATATATCTTGGGGCGCCTGGATGGCTCAGTCAGTTGAGCATCCGACTTTGGCTCAGGTCATGATCTCTCAGTGTGTGAGTTCGAGCCCCGCGTCGGGCTCTGTGCTGACAGCTCAGAGCCTGGAGCCTGCTTCAGATTCTGTGTCTCCCTCTCTCTCTGCCCCTTCCCTGCTCATGCTCTATCTCAAAAATAAATTAAAAAAAAAAAAACATTTAAAAAAAATAAATAAATATAACTATTAACAATAAATTCTGTGTTCTTTTTCCCACTTAGCAAATTAAGCATGCTACTTAGTTTACTGTGATTGATCATGTTAAAGCATTTATGAACAAATAATAACTATTACGCAAGTAAAATATAAAAAATGTCATGTATCCTTTTTCATACAGGCCCCCAATCCCTTATTCAAAACCTTCAGGGCCAGAACTGTTTTGGAATTCACAAGTGTTTGGATCTTAATAGGATAGTAAGGTACGTATATCACATACTATGTAACATCTTGAGCAGGAGCAGAATACATGAAAAGTCACATTAGGTTGGAGAAAATGTGTAAATAGCCTTGTTATTTCTGGTAAATTTGGCAGATACATAATAGAGGAAGAAACTTCATTACAAAAGCTTTTGGAATTTAGACTTGCAGAAAAGGCATTGTGGATCATACGTAAAAATGGCTAGATTAGCAATACTTGTTTCATTCAATTGCAAAGTTAATTTTTTTTTAATGTTTATTTTTGAGAGAGAGAGAGAATGAGTCGGGGAGGGACAGAGAGAGAGGGAGACACAGAATCCGAAGAATGATCCAGGCTCCAAGCTGTCAGCACAAAGCCCAACATGGGGCTCGAACCCATGGACTGTGAGATCATGCCCTGAGCCACCCAGGTGCCCCCATTCAATTGCAAAGCTTAATTTGTACTTTTCCTCTCAATATACTCCATGTAGTCAAAGACATGTTTATTGAGATACTAAATTGTTGCAATATATTAACATTCTTCCATATACTTTCTTTAATATTCCACTAACATAGGACTAAAAATAAGAGATATAAAACTGTATATTGGCAAAATCACTATGGCAGCTGGTGGCACTCAATGGAGTCTTAAACGTGCCATAAGACTGAATCATGGACCTAATTTGATCTCCACTTACCATTGTTTATTCTTCTTTCACTGTACAGAGCATCTCAGATTGTTTCATGTGAGGAGGAACACACATTTAAAAGTCATTTCAGAAAGGAAGAAAAGCAGGGCACCTGGGTGGCTCTGTTGGTTAAGCAGCTGACTTCGACTCAAATCATGATCTAGCCGTTCACAAGTTCGGGCCTGCGTTGAGCTCTGTGCTGACAGCTTAGAGCCTAGAGCCTGCTTCAGATTGTCAATCTCTCTCTTCCCCTCCCCCACTCTCTCTTTCTCTCTTAAAAATAAATAAATAAGTAAATAAACCTTAAAAAAATTTTTTAAAAAAGAAAAGAAAGGTCAACCTTTTTGTCTTTAAAACAGATAGGTGTGTTCAGCTGGCTCAGTGATAGAGTATGTGATTCTTTTTTTTTTTTTTTTTTTTTTACGTTTATTTATTTTTGAGAGAAGGAGAGAGACAGAGCATGAGTGGGGGAGGGACAGAGAAAGAGGGAGACACAGAATCGGAAGCAGGCTCCAGGCTCTGAGCGCTCAGCTCAGAGCCTGACACGGGGCTTGAACTCACAGACTGTGAGATCATGACCTGAGCCGAAGTCGGATGCTTAACCGACGGAGCCACCCAGGCACCCCAGAGTATGTGATTCTTGATCTCAGGGTTGAGAGTTCAAGCCCCTTGTTGGCCATGGAGCCTACTTAAAAACAAAAAAACAAACAAAAAAACCCCACCCAAACCAAAACAAAAAAACCCATGGGTCTCTAGGAGACTTCTCAGAACTCCTCAGACCTTGAGAACTTCAAGTTGGAGAAGCAGAAATAAATTAGCATTTTACCTATAAATTATTAGTAATAATTTATTAAATTATTAGTAATAACTGTTTCCCAGAAAATACACCTTTGGATCTATTTATTACTGCTAAACATTTATTCTTTGCCTGTTCTCCCCAACATCAAAGATAACGTTCCCAGCTGCTTGGCTTCAGCAACATCAACCGCCTCCCCAGAAAGACATTTCACTAGATGTTTCTCTTAGAGCTATATTGTTTATTGTATAGTTCTAGTTAATGTTTTCCTCCAGTATTATGTTTGAAGCATCAAACTGATCTGAGGGGCCGTTACAAACTCCAATCTTTCTTCTTGAGTCTCTCTCCATTCTTCCTCTGTTCAACAACCATGAATGGATATATATATCCAAGATGAAAGAAGAATATCAGCTCTTAAGAAGCTTAAATTAAAAATGGGGCACCTGAGTGGCTCAGTCAGTTGAACATCTGACTTTGGCTCAGGTCATGATCTCACAGTTCGTGAGTTTCAGCCCCACATCAGGCTGTCTCCTGTCAGCACCGAGCCCACTTTGGATCCGCTGCCCCTGCCTCCTCTGCTCTCTCTCTCTCTCTCTCTCAAAAATAAATAAACATTAAAAACTTATTAAAAATCCCTGGATATTCATGTTACCACAAATAAGATATGAAACAGATCTAACTGCTGTAACTATTGGAAAAGGAAATAGATGCACTTATTAACAGATAGTGTTAGCACACCTAAAAAAAAAAAAATCAACTGGAAAATTTAAAAAATCAATGAGATTGCAATAAACCAGGCAGAGTAATAAATAAAGACACATAAATCAACACACATGTACACACAAAATCTCTATAACCCAAACAAGTATATTGAAAGGTTTCTGTCACAGTAGAATCATAAAAACATAAAATGTCTGGGATTAATTTGTTGGGAAATGCAGGCCACCTACATGAAGATAAGTTTCTGGAAAGAGTTACAATTAAATTTGCATAAATAAAAATGCTTATCATGTTGCAGGATGGGAAGGCCAATTGTTAAATCCCAAATCATCACTAGGCTCAATGCAATAGTAAACAGGATTACAGCAGGGCCTTTTGGAATACTGGCCCTCACACTTTACTCTGTATTTCCTTCTTTCTCAAAATGTAGGAGAAGGAACTGACTGTAGTTTTTCATAAGAACAATCAATATGGAATCAAATTCCTCTCAAGGAGAAATATTCCCAGAAACTATTACTTCAAAAACATTCTTTGTTTTTTTGTCAATAAATTTAGACTTCAGGGGTGCCTGGGTGGCTCAGTCAGTTAAGCGTCCAACTTCAGTTCAGGGCACGATCTCACCATTTGTGGGTTTGAGCCCCACCTCGGGCTCTGCGCTGACCGCTCAGAGCCTGGAGCTGCTTCAGATTCTGTGTCTCCCTTTCTCTCTTCCCCTCCCCTGCTCACACTCTGTCTCTCAAAAATAAATAAATATTTTAAAATTAAAAAAAAAATTTAGACTTCAAAGCCATCCATAGCATACAGTTATAGCCACAGAACTTTTTTATGGTGGTGGTAGAAGACTCATTTTATGGTTCAGCAAGTTGGCACAAGTTTTTTAGGTAGAGGTGTGTGCTTCATTTCAAACACTTATGTCGCCTTCTATAAACAGGGACATGAGGGGAAGACTACCCATATCTGCATGTGTAATTTGATGAAGCTACCACCTCCCCTGGGTCCCACTCTGCATTTTTACATCATACCCTTGGATATCTGAAATGTCTTGCTGCCTTCTCTGCAGCCCCTTGCCTGTGCCTTGGAGATTGCTGCTGAGGTGACTTGGCCCTTCTTGCTGATTGCGGTGGATCTCTGCTCTTTGTGGGTTGTCCACCTCCAGAGGATTGGCTCTAAATCAGGTGAGTAAGGGTCAGCCTGAGCCTGCAGAATTTGGTTACCTGTGATGGCTACTTCTAGGAGTCCCTAAATAGTAGCTCAGCGTGACTAAGCAAGAGACTTGAAAGCAGAAGCTAGTTTTGGGAGCAAGAAAGGGTTGTAGTGTAAGAAGTTTGGTTTGGTTTGGTTTAGTTTGGTTTGGTTTGATTTCCCCCAAGTGACAGAATATGTCACCATTCATTATCTGATATTGCATGAAATCCAGAGGCAGAGGGCTTCCAGGGATGGTTCCTGGGCTCGACTATCACCCTTAGCCAGGTACTGTCCATCTTTTCTTAGTGTATTGCCTCCCTTAGTGTATTGCCTTGGTTATTCCTAAAGCTTGTGTCCTCATGGTCTTAAAGTGGTTGTCACAGTTCCACACATTACATGAAGCCATGCAACATTCGGCTGAAGATATTGGCATCATGGAGTGTATTTGTTTCCTGTACCACTGTAACAAATTACCACATGCTTTGTGACCTAAAACAACACAAATTTCTCATCTCACAGCTCTGGAGGTCAGAAGGTCAAATGGGTTAATGGGCTAAAATCAAGATGTTGGCAGAGCTGCATTCCTTCTAGAGGAGATTCTCTAGGGGAGAATCCATTTCCTTGTCCTTTCCAGCTTCTAGAGACTGCCTGCATTCCTTGGCCCATGGTCTCTTCCTCCAACACTAAAGTCAGCAGCATGCCATTTTCAAGTCTCCCTCTGACTCTGACCTCTGCTTCAATAATCACATTGCTTTCTTGGACTCTCCTTCTCCTGCCTCCTCTTAAGCAAGGATGATTGTGATGACATTGGGCCCACTACAAGTAATCCAGGATGATCTCCCCATCTCAAGATCCTTAACTTAATTACATTTGTGAAGTCCCTTTTGCCCTGTAAAATAACACATTCACAGTTTCCAGGCATTAGGATGTGCGCATTTGGGGGAGCCATTACTCTTCGTAGCACAGAGAAGGGATAAAATCTTTCCCCAGAAATCCTTTTTCTCATAGACTTCCTCAAACCCCATTGGCCAGGATTGACACTTGTGTCTGTATCCTCCTGTCTGTGAGAAAAGCTGTTAAAGAGAGTGGCTGACGTTTTGGCATCTGTAGAGGGAGATGGGCTCTCGACAATGAGGAGGGTGACACAGCAATGGAGGTTGTCAAAAAAGTATTTTTAGGTGAGGCCCCTCAGCCACTTAGGCCTCTCAAGTTGAGTTATAAGGCCACGTGCCAAATCTGAGAGCAGCTGATACTGGAATTTTCTGGGCTTGCTACTAGAAGCAGAGATCTAGAACTGAATGAAATTTCAACATCCAGGGTACAGCAAGGAGATGGGGATCCTGGAAGAGGATTTGATGGTTGTGCTGGAAAGGAAAGGTGGTATTCCATGGAGTATTAGAGGAGCAGGATCTCTTCCTTGGGTCTAGGAGGGAAGCCAGCATTTCAAAAGATTCTTATAAAGGGGGAGGGAGGGGAAGGTCTTCAGAATTAACGTGTGGGAACTTCCTCTTCATCTTTTCCCCAAGAACACACCAGATACCCTTTTGGGCAGCTATGAGTGAGGTTTCCTCCCGATCCCAACTTTTAAAGGTATTTTAGTTGAAGTTTGTGAGATGTAGATGATCCATGGAGTGTGAACATTCCACCAGGTTAGGGTATGTCTTTTTTAATCCTTCCTGTATCCTGACTATGCCCCTAGAAGTGTGAAGATGCACACTACTCTTTATGATACCTTTCTTAAAGTTAATAGTAGAATGCCATTTGTGAAATATTGGTGAGTTAGTATAAAGCTCTCTGATTTGTTTGAAGTGATGGCATTTGGATTATGCAGGGGAAAAATTTGATGACCTATTCTTCAGTTCTCCCCATGAATACTATAAAATTATGCATATATTGATCCCCATGATACTAAAAGATAAGTGATCTTTGCATGACACCTCAAATTTGATGGTTCTCTAATTCATATAGGATGTAAGAAGATAGATATGGTATTGTTATAACCTTTACATTTTATTGTTTGTGGCAGTCATCCCTATGAGACATTTTCCATCATGCCTAGACCGAGTCCCATTAAATGGTGTTTCTATGGCAAATCAAGGAGATATGTAGAACACAACTGCTTATAACTGCTTATCCATGATTGTAGTGAACCACAAGTACAAAGTCTTATTACATGCAGTTACCTGTTTATGGGTCAAATATACCTTGTGTATTCTGCCTCCTTTGTGATTTCTGATGTCAAATAAAATGGAATTTTAACTAATAGCTTTTCCATATTGATTACATTCAATAAGTTTCTCAAATCTATATGAATTTCCCAGTGTCAAATAAGGTAATAAGATGATAACCATAGTTGAAAGCCTGCCAACATTGACTCCATTCACAGTGTTCTGTAGTATGAGTCCTCTTGTGTTGAATATAGTAGGAACACCTCCTGAAGGCTCTTGCATGCTGATTACATATATAGGGGTTTTTCCCAGTATGAGTTCTCTGATGTAGCAACATGAGTACTGAGCCATGTTTATTAATTAATTTTTTATTTTTTAAAAACATTTATTTATTTTTGAGAGACAGAGAGCACAAACAAGTAGGGGAGGTGCAGAGAGAGAGGGGGCAGAAGATCTAAAATGGGCTCCGTGCTGACCCCAGAGAGCCCCATGCGGGGCTCGAACCCATGAACCATGAGATCATGACCTGAGCCGAAGTCAGAAGCTCAACTGACTGAGTCACCAAGGTGCCCCATTGCTGAGTTATGCTTAAAGCCTTTTGCACAATGAGTACATCCATAGGATTCTCTTCAGTGTACATTCTGTGATGTCAAGTAAGGAAGGAGAAAAGCATGAAACTTTCCTTGAATAATTGCATTGTAGTGTTTCCCTTCTTTATAAATTCTTAGGTGTAGTGTGAAACAGTCCCTCTTTGAAAAATTATTTCCTGGGGCACCTGGGTGGCTCAGTTGGTAAGCATCCGACTTCAGCTCAGGTCACAATCTCATGGTTTGTGGGTTCGAGTCCTGCATCGGGCTCTGTGCTGACAGCTCAGATCCTGGAGCCTGCTTCAGATTCTGTGTCTCCCTCTCTCTGCTCCTCCCCAACTCACACTCTGTCTCTCTCTCAAAAATAAATAAACATTAAAAAATTTAAAAAAAAATAAAGAAAAATTATTTCCTGAATTCACTGCAAATATAATGTTTCTCTTAAGTATAAATTCTTTCATACTGAGTAAGGAATAATTTGTGTTTTATACATTTATATGGTTTTTATCTTCTATGAGTTCTGAAACCAATGAAAGGCAATACTTATCAGTGAAGACTCTCCCACACTCAACACATTTGTAAAATTTGTCCCCTGAGTGGATTTTCTCAAAGTTAAAAGGGTTGAGCTCTGTTCAAACTTCTCTACATTCATTACATTTATATGATTTTTCTTAAGTATGACCTCTCTGATGTCATTGCATAGTGGAAGAACGATTGCATTCTAATTAACTTTTCCCCCAAATTCACTATTCTTACAGCCTCTGTCCTGAATCATTGTTTCCTGATATGTTCCACCCATCTTCCTTGGTTTTCCTGCTGCTTCCTTAAGTGGGCTTATATTCCTGGTCTTTGACAAATATGGAAGGATACAGTTCATCTCTTGTGAATCTTTCTATTTTCAGGACAGCATATGCTTCTACGAGAAATATTCTGCTCTCTGGTTCACTCTTCACTTTTGAGTCTACTTTCCCAATCTGAAAAAGATAGATTTAAGTGCTTAGAGAAAAACTTCTGGAGATAAAATAGTGAGATTAAGTGAAGAAGCACATTGGAAGCATGTGGATTTTTTTTCAAATCTGCCTTTCAAAGAGTGACTGACCTGTGAGAGAGAATGAGCCCAACCACTTGAGGTGGCTGATGGGAAGATAGGTCAATCGTGGCTATTGATCACTCCTCCCTCTCCTTTTCCAGAAGCTCTTTTGGACCCCAATTCTTTGAGGACCTGTCCTGAGCCCTTTTTTTGTCTCCTGCCAGTGTGAGCTCTTTCATTCTCCCATATTCGAACACCATTTTATAAAAATGTTTATTTATTTATTTTGAGAGAGAGGGAGAGAAAGAATCCCAAGCAGGCTCTGTACTGATGAAGAGCTCCACCTCACAAACCGTGATATCATGACCTGAGCTAAAATCAGAGAGTTGGACATTTAACTGACTGAGCCACCCAGGCACCCCTCAAACACTATTTTTAATGTTGATAAATCATACTTCTATAGCTTCATCCCAGATTCTTTTCTGAGCATTGAATACATTCAACGGCCTGTTGGGCATCTCTATTCTACAACCATAGCCTGTCAAAATTGAATACTAATCCCACACCCACCACTTGCTCTTATCCTAGCCTTTCTCTACTAATGGACAACATCACCATTCCAGTTGCTTGTGTGAGCAGCCATGGACCCCTCCACCCTCTATTTTGAATCAGTCACCAACTTTTGAGTCCACCTTAAGTATACATTGAATTGCTCTCCTTTTCATTTCCATAGCCCCCTCCTACTCCGAGTCACTGCACTTGTTAGTTTAACTACTGCAGTAGAGCTCTGTCATCCCATCTTGTTTTTACTTCTGTCCCAACACTCATCCGGCAAAATCTTTCAAAAATATAAACCTGATTTTGTCATTGTTCTACTTGAACTTAATCAATGGTTGCTCTTACCTATTTATATATTTTTCTAGAATATCCACCTCCACTATGATGACAGATACATACAGGCAAATACCATATCTGTTTGTTTATTCTTTTAGTCCCAGCATCTGCACGGGAAAGCCAAGACTATTTATTGGCCAGTTGTTTGAGGTCATTCAGACTCCTCACCACTTCACTCTTGACCAGTATGTGGATGACTTCCAAGTCAAGATCATTAAACTCCAGCTTCTAAATTTCCAAAGTTAGTGACAGAATGTCTGAAGATCTTTCCTACACAGCATAGTATGAATTTCTAATGATATAAATCTAATTTTATCTCTCTCCAGGGTAACCTCAACCCAGGTGACTTCCCATTGCATTCAGAAGGAAGCTCAAACTCCTAATTAGTGTCCACAAGACCTGGAACGTCTGAGCCTCATTGCGTCTGACTCTTGTCCTTCTGCTCTTTTCCCTCACCCATCCATTCTGGCCTCACTGCCTGCCATCAGTTTCTTGATTGCATCAGATTCTTCCCACTTCAGAGCCTTTGCTAGCCCTTCTCCTTTTGCTAAAATGCTCTTCCCCAAGTCATTATATACTGGCTCCTTCTCACACCTGAGAGTTCAGATTAAAGTTGACTTCATCAGAGAGGCTTTCTTGAGCTGTGTGGTGAATTCAGTAATAGTCCCTCAAAGACGTCTATGTACTAATCTGCAGAACCTGAGAACCTGTTACCTCATGTAGCCTAAGGGACTTTGCAGATATGATTAAGTTAAGGATTTTGAGATGGATGGTTTATATTGGGTCATGTGGGTGGGCCCAGTGTAATCACAAGGTCCTCAAAAGTGTAAGAGGAATGCAGGAGAGTCAAAATCAGAAGATTTTTGATGACAGAATCAGAGATTGGAGTGATTTAAGGTCATGAAGCACACAATGTGTCTTCTAGAAGCTGGACAAGGCAAGGAAATGGATTCTCCCCTAGAGTCTCCAGAAGGAATACCATTTTAGACTTCTGACTTCCAGAACTATAAGATAATAAATTTGTATTATTTTAAACCACTAGGTTTGTGGTAATTTGTTACAGCAGCAACAGGAAACTAAGATAGTCCATATGACCTAAGGCACCTTCTCCTTTGTTCCCTCATAATTTCTTGCTCTTTTCACTTGCCATGCTTATCATGATATATGATGATGACTTGTATACAGGGAAGATTCTTCAGAGAATAGTCAGCCCCTGGCCCAACAACTGCCTGGTATGGAGTAGGAAGTGAATAGAGTTGATAAATAAACAGAGGTGATGGACTTAAAAGGAACTATGAAGGAAGAGTCTGGACCCTAGTACCTCATACTTGGATTACTGAAGCAATCTTAATCTTCTATCTTTAGTCTTTGCTCTGTGACGCACCCTGATACCAGAGTAATTTTCCTATGCTCCAGGAACATCATTTTTGACTCTATGGTTCCACTGGTCTTGAACTCTAATCTCTCCAGCATTGTGACCTGGGCTCACTGGGAAGCCTTGGGCTTCCACTTTTCTCCTTACTAAATTATTTGGGTGTTCAACTGAGAGACATAAGAGCTGCGTATAGCCTACAGTCCTTAGGGAAGACTCATCCCAGGGACACTGCAGGCCGCAAGCAATCTTGTTGGGAGGAGGAGAAACATGGAGACACCAGGTCATGAGTGCAGTGTAAACCAAAAACACCAAGGCAGGAATGACTCTAGGCAAGAAAGAAGCCTGGCCTGCAAAGTTCAGGGAACATAGATGATGGAAAACATCCTAAATTGCACCATAAGGATCTGATCAACAAAATCCAGACCATGGGAAACTTTACAGTCCCACAGACCATGTTTCACAACAGATCAAGTAGAAGGAAAATAAATAGATGCTGGTATGGTAGGCAGCTTCCAAGATGGCCTCTGGTGATTCCCCACTCCTGGAATTCACACTTTCCTCTGGTTCCCTCCTTCCACACTGTGCTGGGATTGCTATGTGTGACTCAGAATGTGACAGAAGTGATGGTACATCCCTTCTAAGAGCAGATTATAAAAGACACTGTGGCTTTAGTCTTTATTGTTTCTTTATCTCTTCTCATTCTGGAGGAAGCCAGATGTCATGTTAAGAGGACAGTGAAGTAACCATGTGGAGAGAGGCTCAAGGAGAAACTGAGGCCTCTTGCCAACAACTACATAGATAAACATGTAAATGTACTCTCTATTGCTGTTAGGCTTCATATGACCAATGACCATCGCCCTGAATAATATCTCGATTACAGCCTCATGAGAGACCCTGAGAAAGAACATTCAGTTAAGCTGCTCCTAAATTCTTGACCTACAGAGACTGTGAGGATATCAAATGTTTGTTGTTTTAAGCAAGGAGTCAGCAAACTACAGCCTCCAGGCCTAATCTAGTTAGCTGTCTTTTTTGTTTTGGTTTGGTTTTGGATGGCTCACAGACAGGACAGTTTTTCCATTTTTAAATGGCTAAAAAAATCAAAAGAAGAATTATATTGTATGCCATGTGAAAATGTCAAATTCAAATGTCACTATCCCTAGAGCTTCATGGGAACACAGTCATGTCCATTCATTACTTATTGTCTACAATAAAAGCAGCATTGAGTAGCTGCAACAGAGACCATGTGGCCCACCAAATCTAAAATATTTACTATCGGGGTGCCTGGGTGGCTTGGTCAGTTAAGTGTCTGACTTCTGCTCATGTCATGATCTCACAGTTCCTGGGTTTGAGCCCCGCATCGGGCTCTGGGCTGACAGCTCAGAGCCTGGAGCCTGCTTTGGATTCTGTGTCCCCCTTTCTCTCTGGTCCTCCCCCACTCATGCTCTGTCTCTCTCTGTCTCACAAATAAACATTAAAAAATTAAAATATTTACTATCTGGCTCTTTATAGAAAAAGCTTGCTACTCTTATTCTAAGCCATTATATTTTGGGGTAATTTTTACCCCAAGTGTAAAATTTATATATTATACACACATATATAATATATAAAATAATATATAACTATATATTAGTTATATAGTGTATAACTAATATACACTATATCTCCTTGCCCCTGACTTTGGACTAAGGCACGAGACTTGCCTTGGCAAATAGGAGGTTAGCAGGTATGATGTGAGTAGAGGTATAGAATGTGCTAATGTGGCTGGATTTACCCTTTTGTGCCTCTGCCGTTGTCATGACAAGAACAAGATGATCATTCTGAAGGCCAGCTAAACCCAGCCTAGCTCAGCAAACCCCCAGTTGACCTGTGGGCATATTGTGCCAGAAGAAATGACTTTGTTGGGGTACCTGGGTGGCTCAGTCAGTTCAGCACCCAACTTCAGCTCAGGTCATGATCTCATGGCTTGTGAGTTGAAGCCCTGCGTCGGGCTCTGTGCTGACAGCGCAGAGCCTGGAGCCTGCTTCGGATTCTGTGTTTCCCTTTCTCTCTGCCCCTCCCCTGCTTGCACGCTGTCTCTCTCTCTCAAAAAATAAATAAATAAATAAATAAAGGGGTGCCTGGGTGGCGCAGTCGGTTAAGCGTCCGACTTCAGCCAGGTCACCATCTCGCGGTCCGTGGGTTCGAGCCCCGCGTCGGGCTCTGGGCTGATGGCTCAGAGCCTGGAGCCTGTTTCCGATTCTGTGTCTCCCTCTCTCTCTGCCCCTCCCCGTTCATGATCTGTCTCTCTCTGTCCCAAAAATAAATAAACGTTGAAAAAAAAATTTAAAAAAATAAAAAATAAAAAAAAAATAAAATAAATAAACATTAAAAACAAAAATGAAATGAAATGTTGTTTTAAGCCACTGAATTTTAAGGGCGACTTCTTGCACAGTTTTCTTATGGTAATAACTGACCGATACATATTCTCAGTTATCAGTGGCTTTTGGTCAAAACAGAAATGGTCATTGTTTTTAATCTTGATATAAGGTTAAAAAAATTCTATATGGTATGATCTTAACTAGGACAAAAGAAAAAAGCACAAGGAGAAGAAAACAACTAATGAAAGTAAGTATGCTAAAATCTTCACAGAGACCATGTTTCAAATAAGACTTGTTCCATTGTTGCTAGTAATAACTTACTGTAAGCAGTTGTGGAAAACAAGAAAATTTGTTCTGGAATCCAAGAAAGCATGGAAGAACTTTGCTACAAAAAACGTAGCTCCTGCCTTCTTCTGCCAGAGCTTATAGTCTTTGTGAGGATAGCATCACCATCCATGAGTCCCAGCTTGTCTATCTGCCGGCTTCCGTGTTCCTGACCACATCATCCTGGAGGAGGACTGAAAAGGGCCTAACCGCAGTCAGGTACCCACATCCGCACCAATACACCAGAGGCAGAGCATAAGCCACCTGCCAGACAGCAACCACCTGTGATGTGCTGTAGGTGGGCAGCATTGCCTGAAGAGGTAGATGTGAGGACAATTAGAGTCCCCGCAGTCCTCCCCAGGGAGTCCCTTGGGCAATTCCCTTCCTATTTTTCTCTTTTTACTAAACATTTGAAAATTATTTTTGAAAAGTTTTTTAAATGTTTATTTATTCTTGAGAGAGGGAGACAGCGGAAGTGGGAAAGGGGCAGAGAGAGAGGGGGAGACAGATCATCTGAAGCAGGTTCCAGGCTTTGAGTTGTCAGCACAGAGCCCAATGAGGGGCTCGAACCCACGAACCACGGGATCATGATCTGAGCCGAAGTCAGATACTTAACCGACTGAGCCACCCAGGCACCCCCTGAACATTATTTTTAATGTTAATTTAATATTAAACTATTTCTAACTGATAAGGTCTTTAAATTTTTTAAATCCTGTAATCCATTTATATGATGCCAAAGTATACTCAGAGAAGTCTACCTTCCATCGCTGTCCTTTCTTTTCTTTTTTTAAAGCTTTTTAATCTATGTAAGTAATCTCTACACCCAACATGAGGCTCAAACTCATGACCCCTAGATCAAGAATGGCATGCTTCTCCAGCTGGGCCAGCCAGGTGCCCCCATCCCTGTCCTTTCAACTTCGATTCTTCTACCACCTGTAAATAAATCCTTTTTCATTAGTTTTGGTTTATTCTTCCTTTGTTCTTTAAATGTATATGAATACACACACACACACACACACACACACACACACACAGAAACATAGACATACATGTATATCACCCATATATATGCCTCCTTCCTAATCCCACAAGGAAGTCTTGCAAGTCACTAGCAAATGTGAGGACATGTAAGTGTCCTTTAGGGAAGGGTAGCAAAATATTGGGATCAACAATTCAATTGATGGTTTTTCAGTCATTGAAATCATTAAGCATCTAGTATGTGCCAGGTATGGGTAATGACCTAAAGAGGTAAAGGAATAATCTGGGCAGGTATCTGGTGGAAGGGTGTTCCAGTCAAGAGGTACAGCATGTGTAAAGGCCCTGAGGTGCGAGCATATCGTGCATGTAAGAGCGCCAGGAAGAGGACCTATGTGGCTGGACCTGAGTGAGGCAGAGGAAAAGGAGTGGACAATGAGCTCAGAAAGGCAATAGGAACTAACCTGGTCAGGCCTTTCAGGCTGTGGCATGGGCTTTTACCCTGAAGGAGGTAGAAACCCATAATAGTTTTGAGCAAAGGAGGGAGATGCCACAGGAACTCTGGCTGCTGTGGACAAATAGACCTGAGAACAAGGATA